GATGGCAACGAGCGGCACACTGGGCTATGGATAGGGCCAACAGCGGCTGTCGAGCGACGCAAACAGCTCATAGCAAGGCCACGCCGGCACGTGCAGACCTCAACAAGGCCATGGCGGCGCGTGCAAATCTCAGCGTGTGCAAACCGCGGGGCAAACCTCGTGCTTGTGCCAGCAGTGCCGGTCCTGAATTTTCTAGGACCTAGAGCGGCACTCTAGAATCGAGGCCCCTTCTTATAAATAAATATCATATTAGTAATACTCATATTTATATATTAATGTTACCATAAATAAATGAAATTATACCAAAGTATTTTTGTAAACTAAATTATGCATATTACATTGAATATTGCTCCTCGATGCATTAAGTTGTAACCGAAATATTCGCACCAATAGCATGAATGATGAAGGAACATGAATCACTTAAACAACCTCACGTATTTACAGGCTAGCCTTGGGTCTTGGCTGCACCGATCAGGCAATCACAAAAACAACTTCACGCATCTAGGGGGTGTTTGATCTAGTGACTAAAATTTAGGAAATATGTCGGAAGGATGTAGCATGGAATATTCGGATACTAATAAAAAAACAAATTACATAATCCGTCAGTACTCCACAAAATAAATTTTTAAGCCTAATTAATTCCATCATTAGCATATATTTACTGTAGCAAAATATTGTCAAATCATGGACTAATTAGGGTTAAAAGATTCGTCTTGTAAATTAGTCACAAACTATGTAATTAGTTTTATAATTAATCTATATTTAATACTTCATGCATATATCAAATATTTAATGGGACAACGACTAAAATTTTAGGAGGGACACCAAACACCCCCCTTGCATGGTGGTTGCCGCTTGCACGTACTGGAATCAAGGTCTGCCAAGGTTCGTCAGAGGTGTCGTCCGTCGTGGCATCTCGACTGGTCGTGGCATGCAGTGCCTCAGCCTCAACCTCAGCCTCAACACTAGTGGACGGGCATTCTACGCTAAGGATGAAAACGGAACGGAAATATCCCAAACTGAACCGCATCGTTTTTTATATTTAATCCGATCGAATCCGCATTTTTTTGTCTGACTTTACCGTTTTCGCTTTCGCATTTGAGATGTTTCGTATTTCAAATGTAGAAGTAGAAAACAGTTTACACATTTTTCGACCGTTTTCTACTTTTCTACTTTTAATTTGAAATATTCCGAATTCAAAATTCGGTTTAAACTGAATTTGGCCAACTGCACAGGTCATACAACTCAATTACAGGCTGCTCACCACGTAGCTGCGTTCTTTCTACTGGTGACTAGCTGCCATCTCTTATAGACGGCGCCCAGCCTCATCTCTCTTATTATGTATTTGGTCGTGCACTTGTTTAATGCTATGCACTTGAACTAGATCATGCACTTGTTAGTTGTGAACTTGTTATGTATTTGGTCGTGCACTTATTTAATGCTATGCACTATGGGTCGGTATTTCGTATTGAATTTTTCCATACCGACCGTGTTCGACATAATTCCGTTCGAATTGGTTCGTTTCCGAAATTCTAGATATTCCGTAAGTTCGTGTTCGTTTTCGTGTCTGGCTTGTCCGCTTTCGCTTTCGTTTTCGTATTTCAAATGTAAAAGTAGAAAACGGTTGAGGAGTTTTTCGACCGAGTTCAACCGTTTTCATCCTTATTCTACACTGCCGTGCTGTTTCGTGGTAGGTTTTGGTAACGCAAACGCAAAGGAATCACAACTTTCCACGTGACGGCAACATATATATAACTAGGCACTGCTGCCCGTGCATCGCTGCGGGTGGTGTGCTTGGTATAGAAAAATTTTCAAAAATATGGCTCATATATCTAATATGTTTTCTCATCGTGTTAGTACGGAAGGTTGGTCTCAATATTGTAAACGAACATAGATGTTGGTTGTTATTACATAGTGCATATTCTAGGCAAGCAAATCAATGACATATTAGTGGAAAGAAGTATTTAATGGAGTTGGGCTCAAGCAACTAACACACCTAGATTTAAAGCACAACATTGGGTAGGATTATATTATAGGTGGAAATAGCAAAAACTACAACACAAGTACTTCTCCTAACGCGAGGGTTTACAAAAAAGTGAATTATGATCCACTCCCCTTAGGCGAAACTACAACACGCATCCAACAACTACGGACGACAACAACGGCAAGAGTACAATACAGGAGGACAGCGACGAAAAGCACTACTACTACGGGTACAGCATCCCAAGGCAACTAATCTACCTTGGAACCACGCATCTTTATTCCTGTGCTCGACGGATTCTTCTACCGCCCTGGCTATGGATCTGCATCTTCTCATGGTAATGGCTGAGTGAGAGAAACCAAGGGTTCTGCTTCTAACACTTCCGAAGGTGGAGGTGCTGGCAGTTCTGCATCACTGGTTCTCCTTCCTTCAGGCGGCTGGATAGGGATCCCCGCCAAGATCGGGGCATCCTGCCTTTCATCAACCAGCGTCCTTCGCTTGGCCCTAGTGAACAGATAGGCCTCACCCAGCTGATGAACATGCCGATTTTTGGCCTCCTTCAGAGCTTCTGACATGGCAGTCTCCTGGCTCTCAGCAGCTACAGCACTGGCATGCGCTTCGGTGAGCTGCACCTGGAGCATCCGAGTGAAGATCTTGGCTTTTTCGGCGCGCCGGAGGCACGCCCTCTGCTCCAAGGCTTGCCGGTCATACTGCTCATCCAGAGCAAGCAAGTACGTGGTCAAGTGCACCACGGTAGGACTATCTTCTCGCGCATCCCGCCCTTGCAAAGCCTCCATGCGAGCCCTCCAAGCCCGCCGATTCCTATCCAAGGGTGGAAAGAACCTCATGGAGGTACAGGCAATGGGCCCTTCATAGAGCTGGCAAAGGTATTGCAAAGGTTTTGCGGGCCATAACCTGATAGGTGTCGATGAAGCTAAACCCGGTTGCGGTCACACTCCAGGCTTTGGTGATGTCGGAGAACTCTTTACTCTTCCCAACGTAGACGGTAACCTCACACCGATCGGTGCCATGCTTCTCATACTCACGGCCCTCATACTCGGGACGATCTTTGACTTCGAGCTTTTGCAGGGTGGCATGCAGGATTCTAGGAAAACCCTCAACGTTTAGACAGTAACTACTAACCCAGGCTCCTGCCATTTCTGGCGGTGGCTACAAAGAAGGGCTGAGCAAAAAGCTTGCTCAAAGGGAAAACCTAAGCGAGCTAAAGTGCGCCAAGTGGTGATATCAATGGCTAAGCCAGGCTCTGCTTATAAAGGCGGAGCAGTCTGTGGTCCTAGCGCGGTTCACTTAGAACTGATGAAAATCACTACTTTTCGTCTCTGTCCTACAAGCATGTGTACGGCTTTTGTTTTTTCTTCTCATTTTAGCTTTAGTCAGTGCTTCCGCGGAGGCTTTCAGTTGTTTAGTGTCCATAGCTAATAGACCTAGAGATTGTTGAATTCTATATACATTCAATTTTCATGGGCGCATGCATCTTATGTCTTATCATAGTTGTATCCATACTGGCTACTAAACATCTCTGCTTATTAAACATGTCAATAGTAACTTAGTTTTTTACTTAGCAAATTGTGTTCTTGGTATGGGTAAAGGACATTGAAGTGTTAGTATTTTTGTGGGGATGGGTGCTAGTTGGCCTGAAGCCACTGCTGGTTTAAAGGCGTGCATGCATGCACTGCTGCTGCCGTTGGCCCACTTTTGACGTATTCTCGTAGAGAAAGGACAGGCCATAAAATTTTACCTTCTCACAAGGAGATAAGAACGGGTACAGCTGGGGCACCGGCCATGCATGCAAAGCAAGCAAGGCCCCAGCAGCATGCATGTACGCGTACTCGCATACGTGCCGACCACCATGGTAATTAGGCACCGGCCATGCAGGCACACCGTCTGTCTATTAGATGCATAGATGCATGTGTAAGTACAAATGTTCCTGCATGGTCGGTGGATTGTTTTTATCTGATGGTAAGGAGGAGAGGTATTAAATGTGTCCACCTGCCCAACTTGTTTTTATGTGATGGTAGCATGGAGGGAAGGCATTAAATGCGTCTACCTGTTTTCGACCCACCATGTGTAGGTGAAGATGTCCAGTGCTTTCAAATTTACTGAGTGAATTTCTGGATACCTTAGGGAATGGCCTCGTACACTGCTCATCTCGTGCGTGCAAAAATCTTGCCGCTTTCCTTTTATTGGTCTCCGCGCCAGACTCAATGGTGGACTGCGCCAAGACCAATGACCGCTCTACCATTACAAAAGGCCTATCCTAGCCACTTGGTACCACCACTCGGTGAGTCTCAGCTCACCGTGGGATCAGACGGGACAACAGATCAGAGCAAATCCCATACCATTCACCATCGAGTTGGTAGCCTACGATGCGATCCTAATCCCAGCGCAAACTCCAACGACCGCGAGACCATAAATTTTAAAAATCGATTAAAATTTATTTAAAATAACTCAATATAACAACCAGCTACTGTGTATATTAGTGCATCAAAGCCAACATGTCAATCCCGCGTTAGTTAGAAATCTAAGCTAATCAGCTAGACATTAGTTAAAAATGCATGCTAGACATTATAAACTACTCTCTCAAGTCCAAAGATATCTAATGGACATTGGATTTTTTAATTTGCTCTCCAATAAAATTCGAACACCACTGAATCATACATGGAGATGATATCCAAATCCAAATGGACCTTATCCAAGCATGGCCAAAACAACAAATAATATCCAATTAGATTTTGGATGATCCAAATCCGCTGCCAGCTCTACAAGCAAATATCCAAGCTTTCTTTCTGACAGAGCATCAGGCTCACCTTTTTTTCTTTTGTTTTTTCCTTGCTTTCTTTCTTTTTCTTTCTTTCTTTATTTTTACTATCTACACGATACAATGTGTGATACGTTCGCAAAGAACAAAATTCAGGAACAGATAGGCTAAACCTTTCCAAAAAAAATGTTACACTATTATTCTCCTTTTAACGATGCTGATACATGGTTCCACCAGAAACTATGCCTCTACAAGTCCTTTGCTGTGTGCTTTCTTCTTTCCACCTTTTGCTGCTTTTGAACTTGCTTGGGCATCCTCTTCCATCTCGGTTTCTATCCTTGCAAACACTGGCTTTGGCTCCGACATTACCTGGCCTGCTTTAAGGCCTCTCCATTTCGTATCCTCCTAATGAAATAGCTGAAAATGATTACATGCTCTGGAAAATATTGAGGCAGATCCATAAAAGATTGAAGACTGCATTTTCCTGATGATGCCTGATTGTACTGTTGAGGATGAACATGTATAAATAAGAATGGAATCACACAGCACGTCTATGATATAAGAACATACCCATCTCAACACCCTAAACTGGTCTTCTGTGAAACCAAGCTGTGTGTAAATCCTCAGAGGAAGGCTTGGAGTGATAGGAGATAGTGCGATTGCAATTATCCTCATTGTCTCTAAAATAAGTACAAGATCCTGTAGATAAGTTGAGACAGATTAAGCCATGTAGTCATATCACAAAAGTACAGACGCGGAGTGCAATTCCTCTAGAATGTGTATCATAGCTTGCCAAACAACATCTGAAATAACAATCATTTATGGTTCCATCCAAACATTTCACAACAGTGGAACAAGTTTTGTAGAGAGCTTATAAGGAGCTTCATGCATCATATACATCAGATAACATTAGATAAATCATTGACCTATATTGTCAGCACATATAAGATTCATTGCTGATGTTCGATATCACAGAGAGTATACTAGTAATGGTGAAATCAGAGCTAGGATGCTGTCAGAACAGTCAGATGTATAACAACAATAGTATTTTGAGGCTCAAAGGGAGGCCACTTTCATAAGCTACAAACTGACTAGATGTTTTGACTTTTCAAATTCAAATTTTCAGCATTTAAGATTTGGCAAAATCAACTGAAACATAGGTGAAAAGGTGAGAGTAAAAAATAGTTTTTACATGTTTACCTTTGCAGCCTTTTCAGCACTCACCCCCTTGCTTGAAACAGGACCATGTGCTTGCTCATCGAGGTACAAGTTTCCAAGACAGCAAAAGATTTTCATACTGGTGTTTTGCATTGTCCACCTGTAAAAACAATTTCACGGTGATTCGAACAGAGACACAACAGGGTATGTGAATGTGTGGTATTTCTTAGGCAGACCATCATCGTTTCATGAGTTCAAACTACAGATGGACCCACCACATCATCGGCAATACTTGTTGACAGAGCAAAAAAACAAATTCACTGTTGTAGACCTTATATTTTCTAAGTCTTTAAATCTTTATACAGTTGGTTATATACATACTAGACTACCGGTTCAATCACAAACTCGTGGTTTATAATTAAATCCTTTATCCTCCACTCCTCAGCTTAAAAGGTACCATAAAAACCTACTTACCAGGTTTTCTATGTTATCTCTGAACAAACTTTCATCTGCAGCAGCAATTGAATCAAAAGCTAGTTTGAATTTACAATTCTTTTTTAGTAGCCCAAGTGTACGATTAAGGAGGGTTCCAGTTCAAGTGAGTAAGCGAGATCATTATTAACACGTAAAGATGCATAGGTAACACAAACAAGGAGCACCAAGTGAAGAAAGAAGGCAAATGACATAACAATTTCAGTACACATGAAAGTATATACATGTTTCAGAAACAAAGGTAATTTAAGTAGAAATACCAATTGTATTAGCAAGATGAGCATTGACTATATTGATAAAGCGTTCTTCTGAATAGTCCCCATCATTGCCGATTTCTACCTACCGCAAGAAGAAGTACCTAACAGCATCAGCGCCAAATCTTTCTACCAGATCTTTTGGTTCAAGTGTGTTGCCTAATGACTTACCCATCTTCATGCCATCCTAGAATTTTCAAAATAGAAGCCATTGGTGCATGAAATAAAAGTGACTTACTGAGATAAAACATGAAAGGTGACTGGGAATCTAGATACTTTTTTTTTGTACTTATGGTAGAGTGCTATACTGTCATCAGGGCTCTATAAACTGTTTTGCAGCAAGGAGAGTGCGAGCACGTCGTACACTAAATTCTGTCTTTAGCTCAATGTCTACTCCAGAAACAGAAGATGACAACACCCCAAACTCATCACAGATTTGTTGCGCGGCTTTTAGATGCCCTCTAAGTAGATCAATTTTACGCAAATAATAACACATTAGATTATGGAAGCAAAATGCAACTACAAAATGAAGTGTAGAATCAGTTTTGTATCGATGAAGTGCGCGCGCATGTAGAATCTGCATTCCTAGAAGCTGGATGTGCAAACTTGTGACGATGGGAATTTCTTTTCAGCAAGCTTTAGAGCACAGAATGCAGCTGCAGATCAATCACGTAACAGAAGGCCATAAGAAAAGGTCGATAAATACATGGCTCTTGGGACACTACACAGTCTATGGGCTATGGCACATTTGTGGACTGTGGTTGCATTATAGGAACTAACCTGAATATCCTTTGAACACCGCCAGTTGTTGAATTAGCTCTGCATATGCTAGTGATAACTCTGACGAACTGTAACAGAAAATACAATAGCATCACAAATCCAGGTTCACAAAGCATCAGAGCTTTCATTTAAAAAGTTTAAAACTGTGTGAAATAGTTAAAGAATAGTTGCAACATAATTTATATAAAAAATAGAAAAGTTATTGAAAAGACACTAAATTTAGGCATTTAGCACATTCCCACCTTGCAGCATCCGCAAAGCAGGCTGCATAAACCAGAGCATTCATCCGTACCATTGGAGCACTGTGAAGAGGCTTGACAAAATATGGAAATATTAATTTTCTTGAAAATGGTACCGGTAGAATTAAACTCCGCTTTAAGATATGATTCAATAGGGACATAAAACAACCATAAAAAGACAGTTAAAAGAATTGCTGACAATTTGGCAGTAAACAAGACAGATATGAGCATAGGGGGGGAGATTAGAAGCAACAGAACACCAGGATCATAAAAGGCCTTATTTTTTATAGATGATAGAACTATAGAACAAACAGTGATGTACAGACCCTGTTGCTACTAATATAAATAGACATAAGACCGATAATTCCTGGTACCAGATAAAATATGAATCAACAGTGCCCACAATGAGTCAAGCGCTATTAAGTTGTTCATCAAGTACCTGCTCTTTCTTAGTTGCAAGACACTTGTTTGCTGCTTATCTAACCCACCCTTTTTCCATAATACAACACTGTACAAGTGGGAGAATTCGGTATGACAAACCACTATGAACACTGAACCCTGACATTAACAGAAAATAGATACATACCTCCCATAGTGCTCCCAAGCGGTGGCTCTCAGCAAATATGCTGAGCCAGCTAATTGCAATATTGGTGCAGGTACTGGACTTGGTTGTGCATGATAATGGAAATTGTCGAAGTCATTAATATGTAATTTCTTGGTGTTCTTAGAACTTCTATGCCATGAATCAGAAGCAGCGGATAGATTCCTAAGCCACGAAGTGCTAAAACTGCCATTATCATTTGAAGTGGAAAGAACATCTGCTCCAAAGTCAGTCAACACACGGGAACCTAATCTTAAATTCTGCCAAAAAAGAAGCAAGAGAAATTATGAATACTTTAATATAGAAGCAAACTTTACAGCCGCTCTGAAGGATGAGCATAAAATGTTTTGGAGTAAATGCAGCATACCTTAATGACATCTGCAGGACATGTTCTAAGCTTTGTAGATGCATTAGGGCCAAAAGAGACTAGTGGCCTTTGGACATGCTGACAAACCAAGGAAGAAAAGGTTCATAAACAAGGATGCTCTGAGTTGAAGCACATGAGTCTGTTCTTAAGCCACATCTAGCCTTTTCAAGACCAAAGTGACAGATGCCATAGTAACAGTAACATAAATACAATGGTAACTACACTGTAAGTTTGAAGCTGTGCATCATGTTCAAACGTTGACGTAACTATGACAGGAGAACTGCACAGGAGGATAAGCAGAGAAATTTAAACATGACTAGGTAAAGAGATCTTCCTAAATCCTAATGTCAAACAGCAATAAATAGTAAATACTAGTAGCAGATTTCTTTTTTTCTCGAGCACACAGCAGAGTTGTGTATCATTATACTAATCAGATTCATCACATTTGCACAAAAAACCAATCAGATTCATCGTGAAAAGAAAATTTCTGAAATCAAGCACATCAGTGGCAGTTGAGAGAGAGACAGGGAAAGAGAGAGAGCCGATGCTCTTCAGATCCAGGATGGGAGATGCTATTCGCAAAAAGAAAAGACAGAATCTGCTCCTCCGTTGGCCACCAGAGACCCAGGACGCCGGATCTTGCTACCGGGGGAGAACCAGGACGACGCCGCCATCGCTGTTGTGGTGCAGCCGTGCAGGGCCACTGCCGGTCGCCGGGGAGCCATGCCGTCCTGGTTGAGAACGCGATTCGATGACACCGCCGCCGGAGGAGACCACGCCACCAGGGAACGCCGAGCGCGCGGGCCTGGGCACGCCATCGCAGAAGAGGAGGAGCAGCTTCGGAGCGCTGGCCACCCGCCGCCGATGCGTCCGGCCTCCTGCGGGGGAAGCCGGGGGATCCGCCCGTCAGTGCCGCCACCAACCACGGCACGCAGACGCAGAGACGCCACCGGCAGCGTGAGGGCCGCTGACGCCATCGATGGGGTGGAGGATGAAGGCCGGAGCTCGAAGGGGATCAATCCACGGCGCCCCTGCACGGATCCTCCTCGTCACCGGAGGGAGGGACGGGGAGGGTGGCCGCTGCCGGATGCAGGGGCCCCTCGTCGGCACCAGTACCGGAAGGAGGGGAGGGGGCAGTGCCGCCGGTGGGGTGGGGGCAGAGCCGCTGGCGGCGTTGCAGCCGGGGAAGTCCGTAGCGTGAAGAATACAAAAGGCACCGGCGATTGAATGATGGCGAGGTTTGGGGACGGGATTCCCGGGGCTGGAACGTGGAAAGGACGAAACAAAAACGATGGATGCTTGTGTAAGTGCATGGTCGGTGAATCGTACTCGCATGCGTGTCGACCACCGTGCCTAAATAGACATCGATCATGCATGTCGAGAATTCATCATTCCCTGCTACGCGTCATCGTTTATTTGCGTGCCACGTACGATTATCAGGGAAGCCTTGCTTCATTGAATGCGTCCATGCACGGAGGAAGGTCGGTTGTGACGCGCCTCATCTGAGTCGTGGAATTTCGATCTAACGCATCAACTAAAAAAAACGTACGTGGATACTCTGGGAGGCCGCCGATTCGGCGCGCCATATATCTTTAATGTGAACTGAGAACTGATTTCATTTCTATTTGCGTTACAATTCTACTCCCTCCGTCCAAAAAAGAACGTGAGTCTCATTTTTCAAGGTTAGGTTAGTGTAGATGTAAAATTACATATTTGCCCTTTTTCTCTATTGGGTGTTCTAGGTTGTTCTTCAGAAGTTTAAACTATTTCTTGCATAGATGCATATGATATAGTAGTGTTTTAGGCACGTAGTGGTTTTTTTAATAGGTGGTTCCCACTAGAAAAGCTAATCTCAAATCTATGATTACATTTTTTGAAAAGATTTGAACTGCAGGATTATATTCTTGAAGACGGAGGGAGTACAAGCCAAATAGCACGTGCTATGTGCTACCCATCTACTTCTAGGAAAAACTTGAACCAAAAGCTGGCCTACGGAATATAATACATACATGGTGGAGCCCTTTGTCGTGGAGGGCCTGGAGCGGCCGCCCCGCTTGCCCCGCCCCAGGGCCAGGGTGTGCGGGGCAGCGAACTCAGAGTTCGTGTGTGACACCGTGGTGGCAAGTAGGTGTGTGACAAGGACATGACATCTTCTGATACGGCCATTGATTGTAAGGTGATGAGCTCATTCCTATGTTCGCATAATGATAAAACTAAGAATTTGTTACTACCAAGTAGTATCGACATTTTAAATGTGCTTAGGAACAACAGTGATGATGATATAGTACGGGTATGCCATGAACAAGACCGATCGACGCAATAGAGTGCATGATCGGATTTAGAATGGGTGGCACTGAACAGGGCACGCTGAGAGCTTGCAAACTGGCTCATCGGGTGGTTCTACTCACCGGCGTGTCCGGTGTGGCCCTGGACGCCAAACCAGACAGGGCTTGCAGAGAGGTTGTAAATCGCGCATTTCAAGCTCTACACGCACCAGACACAGCATCGGACGTCTGACAACTAGTAACGGCTAGTTTCGAAGCTGTTGGGGTATCCGGTCCGATGTCTGGTGCACCCACGGTGGCTGTCTCAAGAGGGTAACGACTGGATTCTCATGTGGGGCTATAAATAGAACTTGTGTCCGGTCTTGGCCACTTCCTTGGCACCCATACACTTGTACACACCTCTTGAGTCCTGAGAAATATAGTCCATTCACTTGCATCCTTTGATTCTTCATTTGGGTGAGATTAGAAAGCCTCTAATGCATTGCATCATCGTTCTTGCATCTTGTGGCACTAGTTGGGCGAGTTGAGTTGGTGGATCTCTTGTTACTCTTGGTGATTGTCATCACCTAGCCGGCCTAGTGTTTGGAGGGATCGTTGAGCGACTTTGGTGATTGTTGTCGGCTTCGATCGAAGCCATTGTAATGGGCTCTTATGCTCATCTCCTTAGGAGATCATGAAGAGCAACTCTAGTGGAACCGTGGCTAGTTGGAGTGCACCTCTTGAGTGGTTCTTGCGCACCCAAGTTGTGTGTTTGGTGTGTGAGGCCAATTAGCACGTGAACCATCAAGTGGGGACTCGCCACAACGGGGATGTAGGTTGCTGGCAAGCAACAGAACCTCAGGGATATATCTTGTGTTCACTTGCCCTGTTTGGTTTGTTCTCCATTCACTTGTTCATTACTTTCATACTTGATATTGTGAGTAGTTGTTGTATGCTTGACAAGCTTGATTAGCATAGTGATAGTTGTAGCTTGTTGTAGTTGCTCATATTAGTAGCTCTTGCCTGCTTTGCTAGTTTTATTAATTGGTAGCTTGTGTGATTGTATGACATATACTCAATAAAAGCTACTAATTTTCTTTAGGGGCTTGCTTTGTTTTTTTGAGAGGTTTTAGGGGCTTGCTTTGCGTGAAATAGAGCTAGTGCAAAGTAGAAGCTAGTTAGAACCATTTGTTATACTAATCACTTTGCACTTGTAATTGTGAATTTGTAGAAATTTTTTATAGGATATTCACCCCGTCAAGCAATCTAGATCCCATCAGTCAGTTTTCTTGCATCAGATTGTGCCGACAACCACCCGTTGGTACAATCCGATGACCCATTTAAAACTCCCACGCGACTGTCCGGTGGCCCCGTCTGGTGAATAATGCTACCATATACTCTGATGGTTCATAGGGGGTAACCATCGAAACAAATTGATGGCGCTAACCCTAGCCCTTTCCAATAGCCTACTCATTACACATAGGTTCGCCATATAGAGCATGCATCACCATACATAGCACTTTCCCTAAGCCCCTAGGTTGGCCATGGCAGGATACTCTAGTGTCAGGGTTATGATACCCCGGGTATCTCAAGTCATTGATTAGTTAGCTGCCCGGGCGGCCCACGATGGCCTAGTCAACATAAGCCCAGCAACTATGGCCCGTCTAAACATGTGGACCTAGGCCATGTACTAAGGCAAGTGATTGACCATGACCTCTCTCTCTCTGTTGCATGCGATGCAGCACCGCACGACCTCTCCTCCGTCCCGACCCTAGGGAAGGAACAGGGAGGGGTCGAGCTCTTTCAAGTACATTGGCTCTGATAAGGATAGGCATGCCCCACTCACTCTGCCAGGACTGAGGAGATAATCATCACAGGGTAGGCGCCATCCTTGCGCCACACCACACACACAAGACAGCACCGCCAGACGATGACGATAGGTATGGCAACCCACCATCTAGATATGACCCAATGAGATGGTCATACGGCCCCACCCACTACAGGATGGGGCACACGACCGCAACCTTGATTTTCAAGGCCAACCGAGCCAATAAGGGCCTTGACTTCACAACACGAGATAGAAGCCACAAGCTCCACGACCAGCAAAGCAACCGATAACCTAGAAGCAGCCACCTACTCTCGAACTAACACCGCTAGAAGGACAAAGATGATGACGAAGGCCACGACAAGCTCACATCGCGTAGGACAGCTAGTGAACCATCACCGTGCTAATAGTGTCATCATGATGAAAGGTCCTTGTGTGGTTTTGGTAATTGAGTGACAACCTAGGTGGACTAATTATGTTTATATGAGATACACAAGTTATTAGTCCACAGGTACATGTGTGTGAGCAACATATGCCATGAAGGTGAAAATGGCTTGGAGATGTTGCAAAGCTCACATATATGATAATGAAGGAGGTCATTGCACATGAGACATGACATTGAGTCATGTGATCAAGGTGGAGAAGATCAAGACAAGACTTGGCTTGATGGACTAGTTGCAAGTGTGAAGGGCAAGTTGGAGGCTTTGGAGCAATGGACCGCGTGGCGGTGAAGCTTAAGCAAGACTTGGCACCGATGGACGAAGGCAACGGTGAAAAGCAAGTGAAGTCAAGATCAATGAACCAATATGATCACATGATGATATGAAGTGGATCATATCATTGTTGATCATATTGGTGCATGTGTTGCATCAACATTGGAGGAGATGGAATGGAATGCGCAAGGCAAAGGTATAACCTAGGGCATTTCATTTCACCGGTCATATGTGTGTAGAGAAGTTAATGACCAGGTTTAGGATAGATGGCCGTACTATCAAGAGGGACAAACTTGTTTACATATCGGTCATCTAGTGCCATTCGAGTGATCTAACTTTGCATCGTTGCTAGGATTGAGTGGCGTGGCAAGTTGATTGGCTAATCCTTTGGAAAATATTTTTAAAAATTCTAACACACATACACATGGTGGTGTACACTTGGTGGTGTTGGCACATTTACAAAGGAGATGAAGTTGGGGTTGATGTGGATCAACTCGGCGAAGGAACGGAGGCAAGGGTTCGAAACTCCACCGGCGGAGTGTCTGCCCGTAGAGTGCAGATAGTCCGACGGTGCCACCGGCACCCTATACAGAAAAGACAGGGTCTCACAGAGTGGACCGGACGCTAGGGTCCTATGTCCGGTCAGTGGCAGCAGAGAGCGCGCAGGCATCGGTCTTCGACCGGACGCTGACGCTGAAAGTGACCAGACGCTGGCAGGGTGCGTCCGGTCAGGCTAACGTACGGTAACGTAGGCGACATAGAGAAGTTGGAGAAGGACCGGACGCTGATGTTGCGTCCGATCGTGACCGACCGGATGCGTCCGATCACGAGTGGAACCTTACTGGAAGTGACCGGACGCTGGGGTCCTACGTCCGGTCATACACTATGCTACGTCCGGTCACAACTTAACTGTTGAGATCAGGGGCTCAGTATTTGAAGCCAGGGATGACGTGGCAGCCATCCGTTGACCGGATGTTGAGGTCATGCGTCCGGTCGATACGACCGGAGCGTTCGGT